GATTTACACCATAAACAAAGGCTAGCACGTTTGTTTATGGTGTAAATCAAGGATTTTCTTTTGTTCCTCTTCCCTTTTCTTTGTTTGTACTAACTTTTTCGCAACAGCTCTCATTGATTTTGTACACGTTTGTGTGTCTGTCCTCGGGGGTTATGTAGAACAAGTATGTTTGTTCATGGTGTAAATCAAGGATTTTCTTTTGTTCCTCTTCCTTTTTTTCTTTGTTTGTTCTCAGCTCTCATTGTTTTTTACACGTTTTCTGTTCTCGATTCGGTTTCTGTACTTGATTTATTGATGGTTTTGCTCGTGTGTGTCCTCGATTTACACCATAAACACGCACTCCAAACACACATTTGCACACAATGTCTATGTGGCTTGGAAAAGTATACAAATTGCAATACAAATCTGATTATAATGTCACCCAAATGCAATTTTGTTTTAGAAAATGAAAATATGTCAATGTGGTCTTGGTCTGCACCAAATTTGGAGACCATCAGATCAAAACAGTGTCAATTTTGTAATAAAAAAAAAATCCTACAAAATCCAAAATTCATTAAAAATCAGCCGATGACATGATTATGATGTCATTTCGGATTTGGCATACTATTATCATTATCGACCTATCCACCAAGTTTCACAACAATTGAAAATTTTCTGAACATTGTATATGTTTCAGAAAACCACATTTTTGATGATGTCAAGATGACGTCACACATTTTCAAAATGCTGTGCATATATCTATGTTCTAACAAACATAATACAAAAAGAATTTTGAATGTAGCGTGTTTTGTTTTTGAGATATGCGGATGAGATGAAAAAATCAAAGGATGACGTCATCATGACATTCATGTACGTGAAACACCCAGTTGTTCCTTAAAATGGTCGTACGATTTACTTGGGTGATTGGAGCAAGGTCGTTTACACCATAAACGAACGTGTCTGAGATATGCGGAGAAAATCGAGCAAGGTCGTTTTCCGCACCCCGGTTTCGAAGTATAGAATTTCTGGCACTTTTGTGCCCAAGTAGTAACTTGTTCATGATCACAGAACATGTCGTGTTAAGCTTCAAAGATCACAATGAAACCACATTGATTTGAGACATGCTTTTGTAGATTAAAAAAAATAAATATTCAAATTATTTCATTAATTTAATTGAAAAATGCTTACAAATACGATCCCTAGTTTGTATCACAAATGATTAACAGTACACATAATTTTCGGATTCAAGCACAATGTTCTAATACTTGTACCCACATTCGGAAATATAAGTTCTCGTACTCGTACTCGGAATACAAGTAGTCGTACTCATACTCGGAAGTACAAGTATTCGTACTCGTACTTGTACTAGGAAGTACAAGTACTCGCACTCGGAGACCTGTACTTGTACTCAGAAGTACATGTACTCGTACTCGGCAACCTAAGTACTCAGCAGTACTCGGTACTCAGAAAAAAAGTACTCGACTTCAACACTGTCTATAACACATCCTTGACTATGTACAAGTTTCAATCCAATCGGCCTTGTAGTTCTGGTCCGGTTTCTTGGCATCCAGTTGGTTTTCTTTGCATTTTCATCGGTTGTCATGCCTCCTTGCCAGGTGACCTACCCACCTCCACTTCTTTGATTTAATGGTTTTAATAATATCCTGCACGCTTGATTCCTTTCTTACATCCTCATTTCTCACCCTGTGCTTCTTTGCTACTCCTATCATTATTCTTTCCATGGCCCTCTCTGTCACCCTTAGTTTTTTTTTCTTTAGATGTTTGGTGGTCGTCCATGTCTCGGCTTCATATGATATAGACAGCTATAAAGATGCACCGATTGAATACCTGCCTTTTCAGAGATATATCGTTGTTGTCTTGGTTTCCCACGTGTGCATTTTACAAGCTTGGAGAGCCATGACATATTTTTGTAGTAGCCACTTAATGAAATCTTTGCTGTTGAACATAATCTTGCGTAGCTGCATTGGTTCGATTTGGGCATTTTTACCTAGGCCAAACAAAAAAAATGGTGTGTTTACGGTAACGGTCTGAAAAAAATCCAGGTAGGTATGTAGGGAAATAATTTTATTTTGTAATTTTTTTTTTCACCTCTGCAGGCTCATGCATGTTCTTTCGCAAAATATTTGTATAAAAACATTATTCAAGCATTCAAGATACTCAATCGATACATTTCATTCCAAATTAATTCGTACTATACCGTCCCAGGGTTCTCCCCGGGATTAAAACTTGCCTCACCTAATAAAAAATATTTTTTGAGGTGGGTGATTCCACTATATGCTTAACATACATCACGGCAGCTGGCGCCGCCGACATTCAGTCTGGCCGGCCGTACATCGTGCCGTGCTCACGGCCCAGTATCAGTGTGCATTACTGTACTGTGTACGGCCCATTCCACGTGGCCGAAAATCTTGCACTACTGCAGAAACACGCTACGATGTTACGCCACAAGTTCGAGCTTTGCAATCTCGTCATTTTAATGGAAAACACATACACAGAAAATAAAGATCACATTCTGTGAATTAATGCGCAGAAATTCTCTTTCTCCATCGATGTTTGTTTGGTATTTTTACGATCCAACTTCGGCCGACGGCACAACATCATCGTAGTACGACGTTTGTATAGGCAGTTGTCACTAGTTCCAGGCCTTCATTATAGTATCGATTCCGTTAGCACGCGAAGGGAACCAGTGCACCATGCTGTATGCGCTGCATTCCTGTCAGCTGGCAGTCGACAGAACCCGTCATCGTGTGCATTTTGATCACACATTCCACATGCATCAGAAAAACAGGATTTTTGTCAAGGTATTGCATGTCAAGATGAAATAATGGCGTATGTAACGATTATATTGTGCATTTTAATGGCGTGAATAATAATTATATTGTGCGTATCAGGAGCTGAAAAATGTGATGGGCATTTTTGTCGCGCCGATTCGCAGTACGCACGTTTGTACATGGGGAGAACCCTGCCGTCCGTCGGCCAGGCGCACGAGTTCACCCCGATGCGTTTGTGCAAAAATAATCGTACTTCATGTTGTTTGAGAATTCAAGTTTTGAGATCGTCGCGATTTTCGCACGTTTAACACAGGTATGTTTGTGTCAAATCATGGTCAGTTTCAACTGTGGAAAATGGTCTATGTTCGTGGCAAATACTTAAAAGTACTTGACATTTTTGAAATTTGTTCATTAAAAATGATCAATATCAACCTTCAAAATGGCAATAAAAAGTTTGAGGTCGGCAATTTGGCCGAAAAAATTCCAGGTCGGTCGGGTTAAGCCCCCCAAAAAAGTCTCCGGTTTCTGGTATGGAGCTTGCCGAAAAAGTGCTTGCTTCAAATGTCGGCTGATGACTGCAAATGGTGCCCGACTAAACTTAGTGCAAATATATGGGAGTCCAGAGAGGCCACATAAAGCTTATTGTCATCATAACCCCATCTAAAAACACGTTAAAATTGTGCAGCAGCAGGATTCCAGTCAAACCAGTGAGTTTGGCGGTTTTGAGACATCATCTTTCATTGAAAAAAAACTTTTTCATTTTGCCGACGCGCGTGGCTACATCGACGCGCGCGCATACCAGAAACCGGAGACTTTTTTTTTTGGCCGTACCGTAAACACACCATTTGTTTTGTTTGGCCTTAGGCATTTTCAATTAGGTGTGTCCAGTGCGCCACTTGACCACTACGCGGTTGAGCAAAGCATAGCATCTTTTGCAGTTCATCATTCTGGCGGCAGGTGCTTTTAGCAGAATGATGCTATACTACTTGTGCGCGTCAGCTAGAGGATCTTTGCATTACTGAACTTGAAAGCCCAGTCTCAGTCAGCATCGTCAATGTCGTCATTCCGTTGGGTGTAGCTGCCTTTAATCATTGTTTTGAGGAATCAAGTCCATATTGAGTCGATTCGGGAATTTTCTTTTAGCTGTCAGTAGGTGCGCCTGCATTGCATATGTTTGCCTGGCTGGCACCATCAACTCGAGAATTCTGACTCGGTTAAAGAGTAGGACTTCCTCGTCCACAAATATGTGTTTAGACAGGACCAGCTTTCCCAGGTGCTCCCAATATTTTTGTTCTATTGTGTCAATTTTGAGGTCGCTGTTTGTGGCCCAAGTTATTTGAACGACTTTTTTATCCTTCAGCATTGTTAAAGACACTTTGTTCAATTCCACAGTGGCAAACCCAAAGCACATCATTTCAGTTTTATCGCGTGCAATAAACACCCAAAAGCACATGAACGTGGCCTTCAATGTGCTGACAAATTTTTGTAGGCAATCTTTGGATGTGCAGAAGATTACCAGCTAATCTTTGTAGAGGATTACGTACACCTTCATGGCGCCGTCTGGGGATGCGTGCATCTGCATAGCGCGGGTGCTTTACTCCTGTCGGATCCTATACTTAATTTTGATGCCAAGGTCATCTTCATTCTGTAGCTCTCCTATTACAGGCCTTTTGGTGGGCACAGGTTGGCATTTTAGGTTTGGTTAGTCACATGTCACGCTTTATCCTGAAGAGCTCTTCGGTTTTGCAATTTTCTGCTGCCGTAGCTAGTAGTTCTACATGTTTCTTGTCCAACTGCGTTTTAAGCTCAGCCCTGAGCTTACGCAGTCGCACTGCAACTGTCTGCCTTTTAACCTGATTTCTCATAGTATGTCATACTAATGAATTCGTCTACATCTTTTGGTCTTGAATTTGGTAATTTTTGGGGCAAGGCCACTTTGGCCTTGTTCCATAATTAATCCATTATTCCGTACCTATCTAGACAATTGTTGCACAAATAATAATATTATTACATGTAGTTCCATTCATTTTGGCATAGGCATAGGCATCCAAATGCATCCGCAGACAATATCAAACAAAATTAGATATGAAATCAAATTTCAAAACCTTTGAAAATGTCAACATTTTACCAAATTGCACACTAGCATGAATTAGAGAAAAATAAGTTCCTTTACAAAGATTCAAAATCATGTTGTTATGAGACTGGAAGCTATTATTTTTCTTTCTAAAGAGATTAGCTGGATTACAGGCAGCTCTTGCAGCAGCTGAAGCAGAGAAACATCAGCTGAAAGCTACTTTACAAGCTGAGCATAACAGTAAACAAGCTGAAGAGAATGAAACACTAAAAGCGGCTAAAGAGGCTGACAGATTGAACACTGCCCTCAGAAGACAGAAACAACAAGCACAGGTGAGCACAAACGTTTGGATGATATCAGGCCGTAGTAAAATTGGAGGATTCCTCCAATTTTGATACGATTTTGCCACCCCCTTAGGGAGTTAAGTTTGGGACTCTCATACACAGTATTGAGAGTTCAATTTTTTTGGAAAAGTTGAAAAGTGCTAAAAACAGTATTTTGAGAAAAATGTTATTCACCTTCCTTAATACCCTCCAAACCTTTAATTGACCTCTGCCTTAACTCCTGTCTGATTTTTCCAGAATGCCTCAGATTGTGACAAAGTAAGGGAGCTTCTAGAATAGATTGCCACATTTTGACCGATCCGGTCGCTGCGGTTTTTCGGGTTGCTAACAACCGTACAAAATGCGTTTTTACCGCAGCGAAATCACTCATTTATTTCAGTCTAATGTCTGCAGAATTTTATGCAGATTCCGGATTTGCAACGTTTTCTGTTCCGTAATATCGCCTGAAAACTTCTGGGATAAATATAGGACCTAATTTACGATAATGGATGGACTGGTGACACAAGTCTAATGCAGTGCGGTCAAGAACCTGAAAGACATCAATGCAGTGTGCAGAGTGGAGTACTTGAGGACCAGACTAAGAATAATTTTCAGTGGGCTTGCACCATTTGGTTACAGACCAGTAAATAAACTTCCATAGACCCCAATGGTAAATGCTCCCAAGTCAAAAATTCGGGAAAAATACTCACAACTATCCAAGGTGTTCGAGACGCACATCAAATCCAAGCTTATTTCATCAGCTTTCATTATCTTTTCAATTTTCGGGGGGTCAACTAATAACTTTGAGGAGAAATTTCCATCCGAAGATGATCACCCCTGAAAATAGTCCTGAAGCCCATCGCCATTTTGAAAAACGATGCCTACACTCCATTGCAAAATAGAGCACTTTAAGTGCCCCAATTTCATCCAAATTGAACGAAACTACAAGCTCACAGTCCTGTGCACGGCTTCCACCCATATTTTTGCAACCATTTGCACCTCGTGTTTGTATATTGCGTGTGGATGTGTGTGTATTTTGCATGTACTGTGCAGTGATGATCGTGAGCTAGCAATTAGCAAACACATGTCAATATTGCCGTGATGAGACCCATCAGCAAAGCAAGATTTTCTCAAGGAATTTAAGAGTATGGTTGGAAGAACTGGTAATAAGGTGTCACTGTGGATGGAAATCAGTTTGAGCTGCAGTAGTGCTTTGAAAAATAGCCACCACCAACACAAAATTTCAAAAATGTTTTGGAAGCCTGGGAGTTTAAAGTAAGATTAGTAAAAATTAGTAACTTTTAAGCACCGTTCATATTTTTTCTGTGAATCGTTTCTTTCTCTCTGCAAACATGCGAAAGTAATAACATCACACACCGACAAAGACATTATTGAATCAATCACGTATGGATTATATTATTAAATGACCAGACATTTTTTCCTCATTTTCCCCCCATTTGTTTTCTTTACTGAAGCGACAAAATTTGCAAACATTTCAGAAATACAGTTCTTAAAATGTACATGCCATATATACGGACATACGTGCATGTACATGTATACATGTACATCTATACAAGTAAATGTACAATTATACATGTACATGTACAATAATACATGTACATGTATACATGTCAACCGAAGTTCGTGGATTTTTCATTTTTGTCCAATCACACCCCTGACTGTGTCCCTCTTCAACTGGTTGACGAACCATAGTCATCTGCCCCTTCTCCTAGCTCCGACAGGTTCCCACAGTACTAGCGGCAGGCCTTGAATTTGGGAATTTTTAGGGCAAGGCCACTTTGGCCTTGAATGGAGCAAAATTATAGAGGGCACCAAGGCCAGTTGGGAGGGCACCAAGGCCAAACTAATATCTGAAGGGGCACAGAGGCCGGCTAAAAAAAATGCGAATTTATATCGGCGATCATGTAGTTTAGGGTCCCCCTTTAGTTTCGATCAAATTTGAGCCAAAGGTGTTTTTATCATTCAAAAACCTTTTCAACCAAAAGCAGACTTCTCTCAGCTTATATTGCACCTGTTTTGTAATTTTGAACACTTTTTGGGGATAGAAATTACGTTTTTTGTAAGCAGTTTTATGGTTGGTGACGTGCGATCGCCATCTCTATTTTCGTGTTGCGTTTTTTCGTTGTCGTTTTCCCTCCAAATTCCCCTCAAAATTCGAAACCCTTCCCTCTATCTATATTAACCTACCTGCATGTTCTTAATGTGTATTAAAAGTTGATTTTGTTCTCTTAGGGAATCGGGCACATAATTAATACACGATAGCCATTTACAATGTCCGCTTTTGACAATCGGAATTCGGAACGCCATGTGCACGCGTGTTTTGACTATGCCCGGGCCCAAGCTCGTTTGCCTCGTACACGAACATCAATGCGTTCTGTACCGCGCATGCAAGCACCGAGAAAAAGAAAGTCAGTTGACTGCACGTAAGATCTGCCGTACGTACTCCTGCTGGTATGTGTGTGTACGAATACAGATATATATTTTTGCGGCGGGGGTGTTGCTACTTGAAGTATCGGCACATACAGGAACTGGAGATTCAGTTGTCAGTGTACGTACGTACGTACGTGTGTGTACATGTACATCGTACAGTGGGGAATCGCCGGCGTTTGGCCGGCCGGCCACGGCCGTACTGCGCGTGTGTGATTGATTCAGCGAGATATTTAAGACAACTGATCGGGCTGGCATGGCATCGAAATACATTGTCAATGTGTGGAAAAACAACTGGAATCAAGGATTGTAGTGGTTTTAATAGGCTGATGGATGTTTTTGCAAAAAGGGCACGACGGCCAAGGTAATTATGGGGCAAGGCAAAACTGGCCGTGAAGACAGGGATTTTTTGTGGGGCACCTCGGCCAGTAAGAAGGCAACGACGGCACTGGCCGTCGTGGCCGTCGTTGAATTCAAGCCCTGTAGCGGGCTCGCAGCTATTTTGGATGATGCACACAGTGGCCTGCCAGCCTCATGCTCTGCTCCCTGACCTTAGCAGAAACTCTTTGCAGGATGTTGTACCGCTGGATGTGGCTGGATGTTGGGCACACGGTCTTCTGACGTTAAGTGCCATCCATAGCATTCATGTGTAGACGCCATCTAGCGCTCTCTCGTGCTTGGCTGTCATTGTCCACATCTCAGCTCCATACAGAAATACAGACTCAACTGTAGCCACAAACAGTCCCTTGATGTCGTCAATGAGACCAGCTCTCCATGCTCAACTCATACCATGAAGGGCCTTCCACGCTAAAGCTCTCGTCACTCTCATCTCGTTCTCAGTTGAACCTATGAGGGCGCCAAGGTATTTGAACTCCTCAACGACCTCTAGAGGAAGGCCATGTCGGGACTTGATGGTACCGTCCTCTGAGTTGAACGCATAAATTACTAGAGCGCTAACTTGTCATTCTGCGCGCGGAGACGCTTTGAAGCCGTCCTGGGCGCAGACATTTTGAATTCATGTGCATGTTTGCAGAACATAATGAAATTAGATGGATTGAATTTTGAAAGTGTATTCTACATGAAACGCACAAGTAGAACATACGCAAACAACTTAAGCGCGTCATTGACTGTTAAAAAAAAACGTGACGGCAAAAAGAATCTGCAGCGAATACGCGCACGCGTTGCGCTGTTTGCGTAGAGCAAAATGACACGCTCATTTGCTGATCGTGCGTTTTGGTTTTGGGCGTATTGGCTTGGATAACGCACCGGTATGGAATACAAACGCAGATATCCAAATAGCCGTACAAAAGCTGTACAAAATTTCTAGGTCTCCATAGGTTGTGCACAAACATGGATGCGCCCAGCAGGCATTACTTTGTACACAAAGTTAGTGCTCTAGTAATTTAATATAGCTCTATGGTTGAACGCCATCACCTTGGGCTTCTTCCAGTTAAGCTGTAGCCCCACTCGGTAGCACTGGAGCTCCACAGTTGCAAGCTATGCTTGTGCTTGGTCCGCCGTGTCGGAGAGGAGACTGATGTCATCAGCAAAGTCCAGATCAGTGATCACCACTGCCGGCACTGTCTGACTCCTATGCCCGAGCTTGAAGCCCAGCACTCCCTCCTTTCCCTCCACTCCCTCCTTTCCCTCCACTACCCATCTCAGCACATAGTCTAGCACGAGCTTCAACAAGAAGGGCGCCAATGTGTCCCCCTGCAGTACTCTGGCCTGGATCTCGAAGAGGTCTGTGGTACCATCTGGGATGACAATGTTTGCCCACGTCTTGCTGTAGTCTGCCAAGACTGCCATCACCAGCTTCTCTGGGACACTGTACACGCAAAAGATCTTGATGAGCTTGTCTGGGTGCACAGTGATGAATGCTTTTTGAAATCAATGAAGGTTATGACTCACAACAGGTTCTTCTCTTTGCCTCCTTCCAGTATTCACCGCAGGGCAAAGATCTGCCTGTGGATCGCTTCGGGTGAGAGCCATTTTGCGAGTCTCGCAGGAGTTGATCAAGCACAGGGCGTATGCAATGCAAGATCATACGGTTGTATGTCTTCACAACAAGCGATGACAGACTGATCCCCTGGTAGTTTCAGGCTTTGAGAGGTCTCCCGACTTTGGTACTCTTACGATGTTGAGAGTAACCCACTCCTCAGGTATTTCCCCTGACTTGTAGCCTTTGTTTATGAGAGCCAATACTGTGTTGTCTAGTGAGACATACTTGAGTAGCTCGAGTGTTACCCTGTCCTCACCACAGCTTTTCCCAGTCTTGATATACGACTTGGCCTTCTGGTATATTCCTCCAAGGTGAAGGGACCATCGGGTATGGGCAGGTTGCTAAGCACCTGGACAACTAGTGTGTCCTCATCTACCAAATCCAGCAGATTCCCTAGCAGCTTCTTAAAGTGTGCGTGCTGGAGCAGCACTCTCTCCTCAGCACTTCGGTCCTTAAGCTTGGCAGATTGGGAGCTACGACTGACAGAGATATCATTGGTCAGCTTCCAGCTAATTGAGTGCCGCTGGGTCGCATGCGCGTTCTCGACCTCTGCTTTCTT